CTCCATATAACTAGGAAGGAGTTTTAAAACTCACAGTGAATCTGAGAAATATAACACAATCTCACGTCTCCAACAAAGTAAAAATTAGAAAACTGAGTTTGAATATGTTTATAGCTTGATGTACTAAATATATAATCATATGTCACATTTATAAATGTTAGTCATTATATTTTAAATGCTACAAGTATATAATCGTAACATGATATCACTTAGAAACTATTACATTCTAGAAAGTTGTAGTTATCTGTATTACTATTATCAATAATTTTTATCAGATTTCTTACTGATACTTATTAACAGAAAGAATATTTATTGTTTGATGGCAATTAAAAAAGCAATGTTTAATACAAAACAAACTTACTAATTAGTGTAATGAATAAAGTAAATAATTTATCCACTTAACATTAATTCATTGGATAATTGTTTAGGAATTACTATTTATGCAGACTTATAGATGTAGTTCTTTTAGGGAATCAAAATCAAACTTTGATGGATACATTTGTCATTTTCTAATAGTCTTATTGAGTCTGTTTGATGATGAAATAACAACAGCAAAACCTAAAAAACTCAGTTAATTGAAAAACTGTTGCAAGGCACATATTACCACTTGCTACCTATGTGAAAATCTTTCCATAAAACTCTTAATTTGTTAAGTTCTGGTTATTTTTTAAATATTAAGTTTAGTTATTATAGATCCTTTGAGTCATAAATTAGAACAGAGAAAATTCACTATAATCATTTTGTCCTGGACATACTTAGGCTATAATAATATTTTATAAGGCAGATTTGGTGCACACCTTCCTTGATTGTTACAAACAAGTAAATCAATGAATTTTCATGTAATTGTGCAACTATTGTCAGTTACTGCTGTTCTAGTCAAAATGATTGTTGCAGAAATGCTGAGCTTGTTGCAAATTTTACTCTTCAATTTAGTGACTGGGACCAAAAAAAGTCATCAATTTTTTTTTAGGTCCAAATTCTTGAGATTTTAATGAAATCAAGAACCATTTCATAAAATTTAACTGAATATGACTTAACACTGTTAGGTAAACAGTACTACCCATTTTAATACATAGTAAACAGAAGCATGGGTAAATGACATCTACATTTATTGGCAAATTATTTAATTGTGTCATATATTAAATAAAATCTCCATTTTCTAGTATTAAAGAATCCACTACTTCTAACTCTGAAGTAAAGGAGTTCATTGAAAATTTATGATAATATTTATCAAAGTAAAAATATTAAAAATATTTGCTTATGATTTCCTTTCCGTAAGGAACAACCTCAAATAGCAACTTATTTACTCATCTGCTTGCTTTTCTCTGAAGAGTTTTCTTTTGTACACATATGCTCATATCACCTCCAGGATGTTAACCCCAAGGGAAATATAGCACCATGCAGTGGAAAGAAAATTGGGAAGGAGTCAGGAAACTCATAGAGCTATGAAAAAAGTTGATAACTCACAGACTGGGTCCTGGAGCTGGACAGCCTGGAAAGGAACTCTGGATCTGTTAAGAAGTATACATGTGACCCTGAGCAAGTTACATAACCCTTGTATGTTTCTCCCTCAGTTTCTTCATCTGAATAATGGATATTCCCATAGGTTGACTATAAAGATTATATCAGTAACTTATACAATCTGCTGAGAACAGCCTCCTGGCTCACAGCAAATATTCCATAAATGTTAGTTAAGACTACCATTAAGTAGTCTGTGTGTCTCAAGTTTCTCTTAAAAAAAATTGTTAATCTAGAGAACATTTAGCCATTTACAACATTAAAATGTTTTGTTATAAGAGTCAGATATAAATCTGCCTTTGCAATAATATTAGTGGCTATTTGCCTTTTAAGATTGTCTTCGAACAGTCCCTATTTATTAATAGCTAAAGAAACAACAATAAATATGCCATAAACCATAGGGATTCTTAACCCCAGATTACACTGGAAGCACTGAAAGATATTTTAAACTGAAGGTTTTGGAGGGGTGGGGGATGGAGGGTTGGGTGAGTCTTGTGGTGGGTATTAAGGAGGGCACGTATTACATGGAACACTGGGTGTGGTGATAAACAATGAATTTTGGAACACACAAAAATTAAATTAAATTTAATTTAATTTTAAAAAGTGTTATATCCATGCTCTCTGCCAGAAAAATTAAATCAAGATAGAGGGATGGGACTTGAGTTTGGCCATTTATTAAAGATTACTAAATGAGTAATTTTGAGTTAATCTAAAAAGATGTGGCATTTTTTTCTTTTTACTCCTCTACATTTTTTATTCCTCCCGTTAAATTTGATGAAGAAAAATAAAAATACCTATATATAAACTGTTAGCATGATAATGATAAATTGACAATAAACAAAACAAATACAAACAATAAAAGAAAAACAAAGTTGTTTGTTTGTTTTCTAACTACCCAGTGAAAATATTTACTTAGGTTTCTGAGATCTTTCAGGAATCTGGAGAGAATTTTTTACATGTTCATGTTCATTAAGATTCTCTTTCTTGGACTTTTCTGCTGCAATGATTAAAATCCTTCTTTTATAATCTCATTCATACCTCAAAATTTCACTTTTACCCTTATTAAATTAATCATTTATCAGTATATTTGTATTCTCATTTAACATTTCAAACACCCTTATGAAAATCTCTGGAAATCCCTGACACCGTCAATTTGGCATTTTCAATACAGAATTCATTATCATCCCTCCAAAAAAGCTTCAAAATCCAAATTTCTCCATTTCCAGTAGTAGTGCCATTCTTTCCACAAAGTAATATATTAGATTTAATTAATTAATTATTTTTTAAAATATTTATTTATTTATTTGATAGAGTGAGAAAGAGCAATCATAAGCAGGAGGATAAGGGGTGGAGGGAGTAGCAGACTCCTGCTGAGCAGGGAGCCTGATATGAGGGTGGATCCCAGGACCCTGAGATCATGACCTGAACCAAAGGCAGGTTAACGGACTGAGCCCCCAGGCTGCCCAAGATTTAATCTTTTATCATAACTCTCCTGCATGCTTCTTGAGTTTCCAAACTGACCTTTTTATACAATTGGACATATTCTGTTTATTAAGTTATTTATTATGCATTTATTATGCTTGTGACCTTTTTTATAAAGAGCAATTTCAATTTCAAATAACAATGTACTGATTTGTCTACGCACTTATTTTAGGAAGATTTTTTTCCCCCAAATTCTCTTATTACCTTTGTTGTTGTTGTTGTTGTTGTTTAACTCTGTTTTTTTAATGTGTGTGTTTTAACTTCTCGTGCCTAATAACCCTTATAGAAATAATTTTGCAGCTTTGGAACAGATTCATCACTGGCTGTTGTGTACGCTAGAAATTTTGAAGATTGACTGTGACGTGCACCTACTCAAACATCTCCAGTCTTTCCTTATTCATCTAAGGCTGCTTTTGTCATTATTGGCATTTAGCTGCCCCCTATACAGTCAAAATGTTCACTAAACTGTAATCTAAATGGTCTATTTATTAATCTTTCAAACTCTTACATTTTTTAAACATTTTGTTTAATCCAACTGAAAAGACAACAGAATGTGTTTATTTCCTTAAATGACATTCCTTTCCATCATCTCCAATTTTATATTAAAATGTTATTGAGGGCTGAGATTAATTTTTATTCCACTTTGTGTTCTCTCAATGGCCTTATTAAGAATAATATTTAATTTGTTCAAAAATATATTGAATATATACTGGTACAAAATGTCTATGGAATCTCAAATATACAGGAATGATATAGTTGTTAAGGCAATTTGCAGATTTTTCTGGGGAAAATACTCTGTAAGTCATAGCATTTGAAAACTAAATAAAGGGAATTCTGTAGGTAAGAAGAGAACAATTTTATAAGTAAGTGATAGAACGGATTCCTGGTCCAGAGTTTTTTTCCAATCCAACACAGCTGGCTCTAATTCCCCACTTTTTTGTTATCTGAAATAACTTTAGTGACCACAGTATACAAATACAGCATAATCAAGAAGGGCTATGCTTTAAATACTACTTTCAACCATAGCATACCTCTATGCTAACTCATAGGCTCAAAATCTGGTATAGAATTTTTTGAAATAAAAAATTGCTTTACAGAGAAACTATGATTTACAACCTGCCTCAAAAATGGTTTGTGCGGTGAGAGTAGGAAATAATTAAAAGATAGCATTCTACTGGATATTGTATTCACTTATTCAAAAATACCTCACACAAAGCCAGGAGCAGCAATGGCATTGGTCTCTTCTGCTCACATCCAACACAGAAAGTGTTAAGTAATGATTTCTACTCGTACATCTTCCTATCCTGCTTAAGCTGATTCGAGATATTAAGAAGGCTTTACTCTTTTTCTTTCTCAGCAATATCTCTGCAGCAGTTCTGGATCATGAACCTTGATTGTTAAAAACCATAAAAATAAAAGGACAAAATATCCATTTCAGTTTAAACAGTTTTGTGGAAGAGCAGGTGGCTGATAAAAAGCCCCAGTCCTTGGTGTGGAGGCAAAAACAGCAGTTGAAGAGCAAAGAGCACCCTTTCCTGTGGAGTTTAAATTAAATTCAGATTTGTTTCAGCAGGGCCTTAATGGAATCTGTATGACTGGGGTGCTTCGGCTTAGCTGATATCTCCGCATGCTTTTGCTATAGTGAAGCCTATTTAGTTATTTTGTACACTCGATAAAATGGTACTAGCGATAACCAACTGCTGTCTGTATTAATTGTATGGTCATTTGTGATCTTGGGCTACAGTTCTTAAAGGTGCAAATTATAAGAAAAATACAACATTAGTACTGCTGGGGTTGCTTTTTGTATTTATTGCCAGCATTCGGTCTTCGCTGTTTTACTTTTTCATTCACAACTGCCAATCCCACGGGCTCGCATCCAGCTAAATGTCCACTGCCTGAAGAAGCTCCTTCTGTCAATAATTAAGGAAAATTCTGCCTCTGGAAGAACTGCCATGGCAAAGTGGATAGAGCAGCCTCTATTAACACAGTGGTATTTTACTTTGTGTAACTTTTAATAGATGTTCCTTCACGTTACCACAGAGAGGGGACTCTAGAAGTAAAAGAGGGATGAAAATGTGACACATAAGAAATCAGGTAAGTTATTTTTTAAAAAATATCCCTTATTTCTCTCCCTTTTACGATAACTCTTCATATGTTTATTTTCTCTCTTTGGGATGAATTGAAAGCTGTCAGCATTGTAGAAGTATCAAATGCAGACTACAGTAGGTCTCCCTACCAATTAAAGTGTTTGCACTGCAAAAGCCAGCCATGTGATGCCTTTAGGTTGAGGCAGTATAGGGATAGGCTTGATTCCACTGCCTGTATCCTCTGGTATGTTTTGAGCAACACGATACAGACAGGAAAGAGTATATACACAAGGGTATTTAATCTAGTAATACATATTTTTGCTTTGTGGAGGATAAAATACTAAGTAGAAAGTTATCCATTCTTATTTGGAAAACTTAAATCACAACGGTTATGTAATTTGGGAGGTTTATCATGAGATCCCCTGGTTATTGCACAGTGGAAGAGAAGTGATGTGATATGTATTTTATATGTGATGTAAGTAATGATCTCAGAATATGTGTATTTATGGCAGTTTGGTGGTCATTCAATTGAATCATCTTGGATGAAAACAAATGAGTGAAATTACAGTGAATATAATAGAAGAAGACTGAAATAAAATGAAAAAATTATGAAATCAACTGATTAATAATTGGGAGGCTGAATACTGATAGCTGATATTTATTAAAATTGCTTTCACTATTTACAGTATTTCAATCTTCAGAAATAAAGGGGTCCACCCTAGGTGAAGCAGTCAGAACCATCTGAAGAATCTCTTCTGAATAATTTTACTGTTGTTATCTGTTTCTATTGACGGGCAGAATGCTGGTACTGCCCACTCTGCCTTAGTTCCTTAACCAAAGTGAACGTGATAGATAGGCTCAATAAAATTTTAGAGATTAATGTAATGTGAGACTCCTATTATTGTCTCCAGTTCTCCCTCCCCAAAATAAGAGCAGAAACTATTTTCTGTGCTCAATTTTTTAAAAGATTTTATTTATTTATTTAACAAAGAGAAAGAGTGGCAGTGAGAGAAGGAACACAAGCAGGGGGAGAGGGAGAGGGAGAAGCAGGCTTCCTTTTGAGCAGGGGACCCCATGCAGGGCTCGATTCCAGGACCCTGGGATCATGACCTGAGCTGAAGGCAGAAGCTTAATGACTGAGCCACCCAGGTGCCCAAGTGTGCTCAATTTTTAAAGATAACTCTTTGTATATAGTCTCCATATAGAAGTCACAATCATGTGGGGTACCTGGGTGGCTCAGCTGGTTAAATGTTAGGCCCTTGATTTTGGCTCAGGGTATGATCTCAGGATTTGTGAGATCAAGCCTTGCCTTGGGCTTTGCACTGAGCATGGAGCCTGCTTAACATTCTCTCTTTCACTCTCCCTCTGCCCCCTCTCCACCTCCTTCTCTCTTTCTCTGCTTCCCACCAAAAAGCCATAATCACACAAGAAACTCTTAAAATATTAGAACACCAAAAGATCTGTATTTGTTTATTGAATTGCTGTCACTATTCCAAGTCCTTATCATCTATGCTTACTACAGGCTTCTTTCCATTTCCATTTCTCTAGGCTTTCAAATTTATCCTTCCAAAATAAGAAATTATTTTCTTACTGGTGCATTTCCAATGTGAACTGTGTTATCAAGGTGAACCAATTCTCACTGTACTTTGCAGTATTTATCACGTGTTCTTTTATGTAAAATAATGAAATAAAGACATTTCAAAATTATATATACATATTGTGTCATAAAGTAGTTTAAAATATTTCTATGTTTTTCTTAGAAATCAATAATTTATTAGAATATCATGAAAAATAAAATTTTATTTTTCTATTTCTATTATGATAATGCCTCACAACTTTGGTATTATTGGTTTTATGACTCTTCAAAATATAAACATATTAGATGTGAAATGGTGTTTACATATTTCTTTTAATTAAAAAAATAAATTTTCAGCAGAATATGTGCTTCTAATACCAGCTATTTTTTTGTTTATTTGTATTTAAGGTGGTCTGGATAGATAAACATCTAAATGATAATGGAGATTGTCTATGGGTATGCCCCACTTTCTCTTAATTATGAATATTTATTATTTCGCTACATTAAAACATTTATTTTGTAATAACAACCTAACCATGATTTTTAAGAGGGAAAATTACACAAGGGTGGATTTGAGATAATTTGCTGAAGGAGTCAACAGTTTTGAATTTTCTGAAAGAACCAAGCCTCTTCTAATGGTGTTTGTGCAAAAGATACAAGGACTCTTAGCAAGCCAGGAGCCCTAATACTTGAAGGAGAACTGTTTCCTTAAAAAAAAAAAAAAAGGAAGCACAATGCCCTTTCCCTTTTGCTTGATGGAAAATGAACAATGTCAAGGAAATGGTCCCTAAGAAAGTGATACTCAATTATCAATGTCAAATAGGCTGGAAGGGCTTATAAATAGGACATCTGTACTACTTTCTTAGCTATGGAAGGGAGAAGGACAAGTGGATGAGAAATAACTATTCTTTGTGAGACCAGGAATCCGAGAAAAGGTTGGTAGAATTTTAGTATTTTAGTGTATGATCTTGTCTAGTCCTTCTTTATATGTTTCTCCCTTGATTCACATGGCAATGATAGATTACTGTGAACATCACCTTTAAGCTTAGGTGGAAATACCCTAAATCAGTTTAATCAAATAAGTTTCTGTTAATACAGCTCCAAATTCATAGTAGAAACCACAACATTTGAAATCGAGTTGTTTGCAAAAGCTTAGCATTTTAAGACATACATACACATATGTTTATCTGAAAAGATTATCATTAACTATCTTTAACAAATAAAATTCTTGGTAGATATCTGTATTAGTTTGCTATTGCTATTTTAACAAATAACCACAAACTGGGTAGTCTAACGTAACACAGATTTATGAATATTTGAAACTATTTTACTAGAGGTCAGAAATCTAAAATGGGTTTTGTCTAAAATCGAGGTGTTACCAGGGCTGTGTTCTTTTTGGGGGGCTCTATGAGAAGATTTGTTTTCTTGGCTTTTCCAGCTCCTAGATGCTGCCTACATTCTTTTGCTTGTGACCCTTTTCCATCTTCGAAGCTAGCAATGGACATCAGAGTATTTTTCATAAATAGCTCTCTGACACTGAGTCTTCTATTCTGCTCTTTGTCCTTTAAAGACACCTGTGATGACATTAAGCTCACTGAGAAAATTCAGGATAATTTCATTATTTTTAAGTCAGCTGATTAGCAAAATTCGTTTTACTTGGTACTTTCATTCCTCTTTGTCATGAAACATAATGTATTTGTGGGCTTTTGGGATTAGAACAAGGACATATTTAAGAAGCCCTTATTTATTCTGCCTACAACACAGCCTAATGCAGAATTCCTGAAAAGATCTCTAAATTCATAATGGCCACCACGATCTTTGAAGTCACATTCTTATTTACAGAACTTGAGCGTTTTGAGATACACACACACACATATTTGTCTTAAAAGGTTTTCTTTAGCTGTCTCTAACTATCAAAAGCTAATCCTTGGTAAAGTTAGGCTGTATTAGTTTCATATGGATGGTGTAGGAAATTATCACAAACAAGATACCTTAAGACAATAGGAATTTATCCTGTCAGAGTTTTGGAAACCAAAAGTCTGAAATTGAGGTGTAGCTAGGGCTATGCTCCCTGCAGATGCTCTAAAAGAGAAGCTGTGCGTTGTGTCTTACAGTTTCTTGTGGCTTCTGGCATTCCTTGGTTTACATTCATATCACTTTAATCTCTACCTCTGTCCTCACATTGTCTTCTCCTTTGTGAGTGTCTGTCTAATCTCCCTCAGCCCTCCTCTTATAAAGATATTTGTGATGGTATTTAGAGCTACTGGATAATCCCAAATGATTTCATTAGTTCAATATCTTTAACTTAATTATATTTGCAAAGACTCTCTTTCCATAAGATAATATTTACATGTTCCAGGGACTAGAATGGAGACATTTTTTTTGGACCACCATGAGGTCATAGTATATACAATAGGAAGAAATTAGAAAACATGAATAAAAGTGTCAGAACTAATTTCCATCACACAAAGAAGAGATAAAGTCAATTTCTGGGCCAAGGTCTAGAAGAGCTTGAGAGTTAAAAGAAACTAAGAAAGTGATAAATTTAGATATAGAATGATGTTCTAGAAAGTGAAATAATCCATGTGTTATGCTGGGCTAAATCCTAAGTGATAAGGAGGGAGGAAATAGGAAACCAGGATAGCCTTAAGGATCCCTTAATGTCTAAGGACTATAATTTTTGCTTCCTAAGAAAAAGTCTGAGAAACTGTAAACCTCTCAGAGAAGTTTAAACATTTGCCTTGTTGCCAGAACAATTGAAAGACAAGGAAATGAGGTACCAAGTTAAATAAAAACTTTGTGGGATAATTATAAAACAACTAGATATATGGGCTTAAAAACAGACACATGAAGTTTTGGCTTCCCAGAATAGTATATAATAGTACATTTAAATTGTTCCTATCCCCTGAGAAAAACTAAAAATTGACTATCTGTGAACTAAGTCAATTTGGAAAACCATCATGTTTGAAAAGAGGATAATGCAGAGAGAGCTAAGTAGAGACAAAAACAGAAAAGCAAGAGTTAACGGAAACATTGGTGATTCAAAGGCAGCACAAAACTTCCCTGACAGCCAAATACCAGAAAGGATTATGTACATTTGCAAAGTCCTGTAGGGGACAGAAGACCATAATGAACCATATGTCTTATTTCCCTGGATACCATGAAAATACATGAAGCTCTGCAAATTAGGTCCCTACTGAGCTGAGAGGTAGCAGAAGAAGGAAGGAAAACCTTGCACTGTGTTTACCATTAGTTCAGAATGTTACACTCCCAAACATGAGTGGAAAATGAACAAGCAAAATAAAATTCACTTATAAAAATATAAATTTTCATTCTTTTTTACATCTCAACTTTGTAAATGTGTAATTTATACACATTGAACTTGTGATCCTTCTACATTTTCCAGTCAAGTTGTAGTGTGGGCTATGCTA